AAGAAGAAGAAGAAGAAGAAGGAAAAAACGAACGAGTGGGTGAGAGGATGGAGAGGAAACGAGAGATGGGGGGAGGGGGCCCGATTAGAAAAGGGAAGAAGGAGAGGAGGGGTGAGAATGAGGGAGAGCGAGGGAGAGAGAAAAATCACATTTCATTCATAAAGTTTGGCTTTAAAAAATCATAATGAAACCCCGAGACACGTTGATAAAAATCACAACGCCTCCATCCCTCCCTCGTTTTACTGTAGCCATGTCTTGAATGACGCGATGCTGGCCCCAAACTCGCCATATTTCGCCTCCCCCCTCCATACATTTTACACACTGACTGATTTCGTGCTTGTTTTTACCAATCACTAACCACGCATTTCGTTTTTGAATTGCTGCATAGCACCCGATGTTTGCTCAGTACAATAATTGTTGTTATTTCGTTAATTTTGTGCGTGCATGCCGTGTGCCAGTCATCCAAAAAGCACAGGTCCACATGTAGGTGGCTTGACATTTATCACAATTTGGCGTGGATATATCGGAAATGGGGTGTATGCTGTTGATTCAAAACTACGTAATGGTGTTTTTATTCTCGGCAGCCTGCTAAACTGTAGAGCACCGAATGTGATAACAGTGCATGATACTGGTGTAACACTGAGGGTGGTGGCGTTCTTTCCTATCCGGTTTTTTTTTTTTTTTTTGGCGGACGATTGAATATATATGTGCAATGTTAAAAATGAAAATGTAAGGACTTACTCGCCCTCCATGGCTCGGTGTTGCCCGCCGCTTGCAGCAGCCCACCCCAGGGTCTCCTCTCTCTCTCTCTCTCTCTCTCTCCCTCTCTCTCTCTTTTTATCCTCCTTTCAGGAAACACTCAGGCTCGCTCACATTCTCTCTCCATCTGCTCTCATTTTCCTAATCTTTCTCTCTCTTGCTCTCGCTCTCTCTCTCCACCTTGATGTCGTTTCGGTGTATCAGGATAGGCTTGAGGTTGCAGCAGCCATTTTCCGCTGGCAGCATCCTCCCTCTCTCTCTTTCTCTCTCTCCCTCCCTCCCTCATTCTCTCTCTCTCTCTCGCTCCAAATCACTCCCTCTCTTATTCCTTTTCTCACTCTACCTGCCCTGTGCCAGCACATCCACACTAATCATTGACAGCATCGCGGCTTTAGCTAGCCTATAGGGTTTTTCACCATGTGATTTTAAATGGCTGATAATGATACCGAGTTGCTGATACATGCAGTGACGTGGGTGGTGAATGAAAAGCTCGGTAAAACCATCAATGACCTCTGGTTGATCCGTGATAACTGTGGAGAAAACTAAATTCTATGAAATTCTATGAAATGCAGGTAAAATAAAATCCGACTGCATAGTTCCTTTAAAGTATAAGCCCGGCACAGTAATATGCGTCTGTATTAATTACATTTTAACTGTTTATATATACAGTTTATATGCAACCAAAAGCAGGGCAAAAATACTATTTAGTCCACTACAAGGTCCATAGTTTTGGCGAATCCACAAAGGTTTCAGCACCATGGACAGCAATTCACCTTAGCGTAATGAAATGGTACATCCCCAATGTGAAGGCATTTGGGGTTAAACGCTGTGTTTCAATACACTCTGGTGACTTTTTACTTTATGACCATTTTTGTTACTTTTTAAACAACGAATATACGGTATACTACCTCACTGCGGCTATTCATATAGGCCGTATATTTACCGCTAGTGTTTTCTAAGAGAAATAAATGCAGGTAAAATAAAATTAGAATGCATATTTACTATTTTAGTATAAGCCAGTGTATATATATACACATATATATATGTCACTGTTTACTACAGGGAAAAAAAATTTGCTACTGGCACTTAACACAGTGTATCAATGGCACTGTGACAACCTTTTATTTTGTGGTAATTTATTACTTTCTTCTGCCATAAATATACCAGCCTACTGTTTGAACTTGGAAAAAATATATATCACTATGGATGTTCCTATAAGTTACATAATATCCATATTTTTTAATGTACAATTTACCCCATGTGAATAGATGACACTCTGGCCACTAATCATTTTAGTTTTCAACTCTAAGGCCATAAATACACCAAATGCACTTGTAAAAATTATGCTGCACTGTAGCTATTCATAAAGACTGCTTTCTCACGACGTTTGAGAAAAGTAGCCCAGCTATGTTTTGTCTCTTTCCGTTAAAATTCCTGCAATTCTTCACAATGTCCTTGGACTGCTTTGAGTTAAAGCAGAAATACCACAATGAGAACTGTAATGTAAAGCGGCAATGATAGGCATTGCTGCCACGTGTTTTTAATGTCTCTTTAATGAAAATTATAGCGTGAGCCTATTCCATGTCCATCAAATTCACTTATTATAAATTAACTTTCTACTGTCCGTTCAGTCCCTCTAATCCATTTAGCATTTGAATTTAAAAGAAAAAAAAGTAAGTGTGAATTAACAACAACATACCAGACAATGGAGATTCTTGGAAATCAAGCGTGAAAAGAAAATTTTTCTTAAGTTGAGAAAGAGATTACTTTTTCATTCATCCCTGAAGCTCAGTTATGTTACATCAGAAAAATAACCTGATTTAAACACACAGGTTCTCACAACTTTAACATGTACAATTCTTTTAAATGCAAAAAACATAATCTCACGGTACTTTACAAGATAAAGGACTTACACTATTAGAGTAACCAAACTAATCCCTTTAAGCCAACTCTCTTGGTGATAGTGGTCTGTCTCGCTCTTGTAGTTCTGTAGAAGATGTTGTGTTTAAATACCCAAGGTTAGTTTTCAGCACCACGGACGGTCCCTTAAAAAACGGCTCAGACGCAATCACAAACTAATCTGTTTTATGTGTCTTCATCACTTTTAAGTTAGTTTAGAAAAAATATTCCATGAAGGCTAACCCAAAACATATTTAATGTTAAACCTTGACATAATTTACTCATTTTAGTAACAATAACCTACTACTAACAACAACAACAATATGAGCTCGTTATTCGCCAAAATGTCAGGTATTAACAGTGCAGAGACAGGTATTTAAGATATTATAATTTTGGGGGGGTGGATCAATTCAATTCAATTTAATTTATACAGCGCCAAATCGCAACAACAGTCGCCTCAAGGCGCTTTATATTGTAAAGTAGATCCTACAATAATAGATACAGAGAAAAAACCAACAATCATATGACCTCCTATGAGCGAGCACTATGGCGACAGTGGGGAGGAAAAACTCCATTTTAACAGGAAGAAACTTCCGGCAGAACCAGGCTCGGGGAGGGGCGGGGCGATCTGCTGCAACCGGTTGAGAGAAGGAAGACAGGATAAAAGACATGCTGTGGAAGAGAGACAGAGATAAATAACAGATATGATTCAATGCAGAGAGGTCTATTAATACATAGTGAGTGAGAAAGGTGACTGGAAAGGAAAAACTCAATGCATCATGGGAATCCCCTGGCAGCCTACGTCTATTGCAGCATAACTAAGGGAGGATTCAGGGTCACCTGATCCAGCCCTAACTATATGCTATATCACATACTGCATTTTTCCAAACTACGTCCAGCACCATGTCATGATCTCTATGTGTTTAGAGGCACACCACAATTTCACTTTAATTCATTCATGCAATAGCATTGCAGTTTTATCAGATGCAATATGCATCATGTAGATCTCCCTTTTCCACCACTTCTCAAAGATTCTCTGTTGGATTGAGGTCAGGTGGAGTTCATTTCAACACAGTGAACCTGACATTGATATGGTCAGCAAACCAATGTGATATATTTTAAGCTCGTGAAAGCAGCTAAGATGGGCACACTTTAGTAACAAAGAGGTGGACAGCAACAATATTAAGACCGACTATAGTGTTTGAAAGATGTTCAGTTGGTACTAAAGGGGCCAAGGTGTGTCAAGAAGATATCACCCACGCTATTAAACCACTAGAAGCAGTCTAAGCTACTGATTCAATGCAGGATGAATCCACACTTCATGTCCTTTATGCTAAATTCTGACCCCAAATGTTGCAGCAGAAATTGAGACTCATCAGACCACAAAACATTTTTTGACTCTTGGATTATCCTATTGGCGACTTGTGGAATTAGAACCGTTTCGTTCTTAGCTGACCAAAGTGGTACCCTGTGTGGTCTTCTACTGCTGTAGCCCATTTGCTGTTTCGCATACCTTGGTTGCAACTGGTTATTGGTTATTTTAGTTACTGTTTCCTTCCTTAAAAAAATGTTTCCTTTCTTCACAGTTTGAAGGAGTCTTGCCATTTTCCTGTGACCAGGAGATGGATGTGAGAATTTCCCAGTAGATCAGCAGTTTCTAAGACACTCACCAACAGCAAGAACCATACCTAACCACTCAAGTTAATTAAAGGTGAGTTAAATCACCTTTCCTCCCCATACTGATGCTCATTTTGAACTTCTTCAAGTCATTTTAACCATGCCTAAAGGATTGAACAGATTGATTGTTAATACAAATGTCGAATCATTCAAACCGGTGTAACTTAAAAAGTGGCCGGTAAGTGTAAGGCAATGACAAAACATGGCAGCGTCATTACACATCCAAGTACTCAAAAAACTAAACTTCCACCGTGAAACCAGTTTATTTTTGTTTTGTTTTTTGGTTAATCTGTCATTTTAAGGTTATTTGAATACACAAAATATTACTAATGATTCAAAACTTACATATCTTATTCACAATGCGCTTACAAACCTCTACCTGGCCACATAACACCTTAATTTGCTTAAATGGCCTACAAATTAATACAATCAGGAAAATAAGTATAAATCAAATGAAACCCAGCAATGGCAGTGAAACAATACACAGATTGATGGACTCAATTCCTGAGCGATTGTGGCTCAAGAGTTGGGAGTTTGCCTTGTTATCAGAAGGTTGCCGGTTTGAGTCCCGGCTTGGACAGTCTCGGTCGTTGTGTCCTTGGGCAAGATATTTCACCCGTTGCCTACTGGTGGTGGTCAGAGGGCCCGGTGGTGCCAGTGTCCGGCAGCCTCGCCTCTGTCAGTGCGCCCCAGAGTGGCTGTGGCTACAATGTAGCTTGCCATCACCAGCGTGTGAATGTATGGGTGGATGACTGGTTGTGTAAAGCGCTATACAAATACAGGCCATTTACCATTTAGTTTGCCCCTCTGAAGCAATGAAAAGATTCACAAGACTGTGACCCAGTAACACAAATCCCACAAGCTGCATCAGCTCCAAGTGCAATTCACATCTCTTAAAAACAAGCAACCAAAAAAAACCCAACAATCGTGGATTAAAGGAGTTGTACAATGAAACTAAAACAACATACCACAAATAAAAGAAAAATAGTCTGTTTTAAATCTTTTTTCATAATTGCAGAAAGGGATAATGAATAACTGAATGGATATTTATTTCAATTGCATCATCACCAGTTGCTGGGTGCTCTGAAGTCAGATATCCAACACCACCTCTGGCATGTCAGAATAACCAAAACATGCTTAGCACCCAAAGAAAAAGAAGTGCACAGGAGACATGTGGTATGGTATGGTATAGTATAGTATACGTTCAACATAAGGAATCTGGCTATCATTAATAAAATCTGAATAACTATGTGATCGTAACTAGGAACTTTCATCTTACCCTTAAGATGAAAGTTCAAGCATTTTACCCTTCCTTATATTTTCCTTTGTACCATTGGTTAATAATCAGTAATTCTATTTTTGATTCCACTTCCAAATGCACCAGCTGCATCCAGCTTACTCAACATTGAAAGAGACTAGAAAAGACACTGACCAATGAAAGAAGGCATTACTATTGAGCTGCTATCAGTGGCTTAATTCTGGGGAAAGTTAGACATGTATAAAGAACACAACACTAACATGCAAAAAGTTTGTTTTATGAATCATTTATTGTAGATCAATGTGTTTACAAAATGTCTAGTGAGGAAGAGTCAAACACAAACTTCAGTGGCAATTTTAGATACAAGGCAAGGGCAATACATTTATTTTTGTTCTACCCAGGAGAGAAAACTTTGATACAAAAAGAATTTGAAGTTCAGGAAAAAAAATGGTGAGTTTGTTGACAGTTGTTTGACACTGAATACCAAAATTAGGGTGATGACTTTAAATTTTCTTACAGTTGAAAAAGAAGAGACCCAGTGTTTAAAAGAAATATCTGGGAATGACTAAAGAAAACTAAAGTTTAACGTTGGACAGATGGTATTTTGAATAAAAGAACCGGCTTTAAACACTCAGACTCTCACATGTCTGCAATATAGATATTTATATAGCAACTGCTAATTAGACCAAAGGTGATATTTTCAGTGGGGGGTTTTGTATTAAAATAAAAACCAATCTGTCAGACTTCCAGGTAGATTTGGGAAAACAGGAATAATGGATGCCAGTTGATTTGTGAGGCATAGGAAACAAATAAACCACTCTGGCAATAAAGGAAGTCATATCCCTTAGTGAAACTGTGTTTGAGCTGACTGGATGTATACTGGACCAGTGGCGTGTTTGTCTGAGTGCATCTGTACATGGTTGAGTGTGTTCCTGGGGGCGGATTACACAATCATTTCCAGCTGTCGTGCGTATTCGATGACCTGTTGTGCCAGCTCAGTAGAAGGGATGTTCACCTCTTCTGTCCGCTGTTGCTGATTGGTGAAAGAGTAATAGCCATCTGCACTCAAATTCCATCCTCTCTGAAATGGGGGAAAATGTATTCATTTAAACAAATAAAAAATAAAATGAAAATCAACAGTTACAGATTGCTTATGTAGTTATTTGACTTATTACATGCAATAATCTAGGAAGGATTTTTATTTTAATTATAGACAACTTGTTACGGAACATCTGAAAACAAACAGTAAAATGTATCTTTTCCATCTGATGTTATGGATATTACTTATTTTTCAGGTTCTGCCTATGCACAAATTTTATCTAACATCTGGAGGGACATTTTCTGTATATTAACAAGCCAGTTTCTGACAACTCCCCTTCCTATATCCAATCATAATGACATCTACAACATAACACGTTGATTAAGAACCAACTTAGACTTTACATAAATATTTCAGGCACCAAGGCCACCTGACAGCCAGTGTTTGCCTAATAAATCTTAATAAGCATTTGCATAAGCAGAAGCAACAGAGTTAAGCAGGAACTTAATTTCTTTAAATCATGTTATCACAGCAGGAATCTAATGTCTCCTCCTCATAATATCTGGATTTGACTACAGGCTTGATTCCCAAATGAAAACAGACTTACCTTCTTGGCATAATCTGTCATCTTTTTGGGGGAACTGAAGAAAAGCACACGGGTAGCTTCACTGAACTGGATCTGCTCATACGCCTTCTCTATGCAACCTGCAATCTCGTCGCTGCAATTGAAAAGGTCAGCTTTAGTTAAAGTCATCTTCAAAGGACAGAGTTGTATTTTTAATGACGTTTTATACATTTCTACATTATTATGGCACAACACAGTGAAATGAAGTTGTTTTTTTCCCCCCCAGAGTTCACAGTACAAATCAAGAAACATTAAAAATTAGACAAAGACAGGAAAGATGTTGTTTAAAAAGGTGTTTAAACTGCCATCTATTTCACATTTGCTCAGGTTAAAGTATTGGTACAACTATGAGAGTAAAATAAATCATTGTGTTTGTTGTGTTGAGTTGTCTTTACACTATTCACTGTAACTATGTAAAATGGATTAAAATAGCGTTTGCACACCTAACTGTTGTTATGTGGTTGTAGGCTACTGATAAATATTTTAAAATTCACAACGAATGCAGAATGTGTAAAAGGCATAGAAATCATTATGGTCCTTACCGAATTGTGTCCAGAAGAATATCTATAAAAAAGGTGTAGCTCTCAGCAGGGATGTTGCCTTTGGCTAGGAATACTTTGTTGTAGCTTCCCTCCATCAAGTACTGAAATTAGCAGAGAGAGAATAAAATATTAAGATTGCATTTACATCAAAGTTACTATAACAGGACTTAAATTATTGTGTATAAGTAAAACTCCAATAAGCCAAGCATTTGTCCAAATAAATATTTAGTTTGTGTAAATTAATATATATACCTTTAAATACATAATGGGTATAAAATATCAGAGCACACATCGATCTACCTCAGGCCAAAAGCAATCTATTAAATCTTAGTGAAGCATATAAAGGAATTACTGCAAATAGCAGTCAAACATCACCCTCTGATGCAACATCTATTGTAGGATCAAAACTATTTTACAAATGTAGCTTCTATAATTTCAAGTTAACACTAATGCTAGCATGCATGCATATATATATCACTAATTTTGAGCAATTTACGGGTACAAATTTCCAATTGGACACACAAATTTTTTTTTTCTTTAACACCTGATATTACACAATAAAAATCATCCAAATCAAAATCAGGCATTGTCCATAAGTAAGCTATAGCACCTGCTCTAGAGACACTGGGTGTCTGATGTACACGTTGGTCTGAATATCTCTAGCACTCAATCTTTCGAGTTCTGTGTGAAACTCAGACACGCGATTCTGCGAAAGCAGGAAGAGCAGGTTCAGTCCAAGTAACTGATGCATGTAAGCAGCTTCAGGCAGCTCTTCCCTAAAAAAGAAAAAGATGTAAATAATTACTTCAGTTACAAAAAGACCTCAATCTTGGGCAACAAATTCTCTAAGAGAAAGTGGCATTTACTTGTAATCAAAGTAGTAACATTTTAGCTGGGCCATGTATCGCTCAAAGGACGGGATGTCCTTCTTGAGGATGCTCCATAGGGCTCCTATTTCAAGTACATCACCTAAAATACAAACATAAATTGTACTTAGAAATTATTTTGCAAGTAACTTAAAAAGCTGTTGTGTTAACTTGTGGCAGCTTGATTTGCAGGTACTCACGAGCTAAAATGAGCTGCTGCTTGGTGAGAGAGGATCCACTGGTAGGTAAAAAGTTCAGATCCAACAATGAAATCTGTTTAAAAAGAAAAGATAAATGTAACAATGTAAATCTAAATTACACCACATCATTTGTAACAGAACAAACCCCAAAGTTGGTTTTCATTGAGTTCTAACAACCTAGACAACTTTATAAAACATTTATTTTGATGTCAGACTCCTGTTGAAACTTTTTTCCTTCGTTTCTCAGTCAAACTCTGTTTTTAAAAAATAACAATTACATATACAGAGCATCTCAATGCCAGGGTTATATCACAAGAAAAAAGGTACACAAGATACAGAGGAAAAAGCTGTAACAAGCATTAACAATCTAATTTATCAAAGTTATATTTTATTGTAACAGTTTTTTTTCCCTTTTCAAGATCTTAACTATAGTGCCGTGTTGTAATAGTAATAGTTCCTAATTTAAAAAAATGAATAAAGCTTGACTTGGAGATGGTCCATCTTGTTTTGTGAATGTGAAATTTCCCCAACATTATTATTGATACCCACCAGAAGGCAGTTGTCCAATAAGATGTCCTTAGTAAACAAGGACAGCAAACTGGTGACATGATGAACCAAACCAAAGATATCAAGAATCCTTTTTGTTTTTAAGCATTGAAGAGAATGCTAGTTGTGTATAGTTAGGGGGAACGTTTCAGATTCCCCTTGGAATGCACTTGGTTATTACATTTGTATTTTTTGTCATTTAACAAGAAGCTGCAATGAGCTCTTTATCTCCAAGTGGCTGTACCAAACGTGGAATTGATTGAATTGAATAGGTGTATTTTATATATAGGCTAATATAACTTTCATAATGGTTGCTTCTTAATAGAAATATAACAGATTTGACTGACTTTGCCTTGCAAAACTGGTTGTATATACGAACAATTTTTGAATACGAAAAACATCTTTGCTGATGTCCTTATCACGAGTCACTTTTTAAAAAAAAAAGCAAAGAAAAAAAGGTTCTTCTTTTTAGTGATACCTCTTTCAACTCGGCTTAAACTTGCCAAACAGAAAACTGAGCTAACGAAAGGTACAGTGACGTTAGCTTTCATTGACTGAGTTAATCATTTGTTTCATCATTATCCTAAAATGATGATATTGTTCGATCCGTCTCCAAACATTGGTTTGTAGTTAGCAAGTGAAAACTCTACACTATTCAACCAAAATTAATTTAATTATCGGTGTTTATCCAGTTACTGACGTTAACGTACAGCGTTAGCTGGGCTAGCGTAAGTTAGCAATCTGTTTGCTAACAGTGCTAACGTTTACAAATAGAAAGACTTCCTTCCTACAATCAACCCTGGACAAGCAAATGTGCGACTTTACCTTAAGCTTGCTCAGAAGGTCTCCACATTTGTTTAGGTTTGGATTTTTCTTGTTCCACTCCGCTTTAAGTGTCTCATACAGCCCAGCGGTCTCTTTCAGCGCCATGGTGATTCTGCAAAATATACGACACCGGCCACCGTAACACGTTAAATGACTGTCGTGAAAAAAACCAAAACACGTTACTGCTTCCTTCAGGAATCAGACAGTTGATCAAGATGGCGGCACTCAATTCAGAACGGTGGCTCAATGACTTACCGAATCACACGATATTCAAAATAATACGCGAGAAGTTGGATTTGGAGTGCACCTCGAGTGAAAGAGGGATCGCTAAGAACCTCACGTTTTGTTTGGGAGCGGACTTGTTCGTGTGGGACGATTCAGACCGCGTGTTTTACACAACCAACCTGCGGCACTTAAACTCAGAGGAGAGCTCCGGTAGCGGGAAGTATCAGACCTTGCTGTGCATCAACCCGCCGCTCTTTGAAGTGTGCCAGGTGCTGGTGAGCCCGACACAGCACCATGTCGCGCTGGTCGGTCAACGAGGCGTCTCGGTCCTGGAGCTTCCTCTGCGGTGGGGCAAAAGGTCCGAGTTTGAAGGCGGACGCAGCAAAATCAACTGCAAGACCATCCCGGTGGCGGAGCGCTTCTTCACCAGCTCACCGTCGGTCAGTCTGCGACAGGCTGCTTGGTACCCTAGCGAGACTGACGAGCCACATATGGTGCTGCTCACTTCAGACAACACGATCAGATTTTACAGCTTGAAGTCTCCGCAGACACCGGCCAAAATCCTGCCAGTGTCGCAGTCAGAAGACGAGAGCAGCCTCGACCCTCCGGTGCATTCGTACGCAGCTTCTCTGGGAGAGATAGCAGTGGCGTTTGACTTTGGGCCGATTTCATCCCCTCCTCGGCAGCTGGCAGGACAGGTCTCCAAAGACCAGCTGGTCTACCCTCTCTATATTCTTTACGAAAATGGGGAGACCTATGTGAACTACACGAGCCAGGTAAACGGTATAAGTCTGAGTAAACCCGTTGGACCTCTCCCCATGTATCCAGCAGCAGAGGATAACTATGGCTATGATGCTTGTGCCATTCTGTGCCTGCCATGTGTTCCGAGTATCTTGGTCATCGCCACAGAAACTGGCACACTGTATCACTGTGTCGTGCTGGAGTCTGAAGAAGAGGATGACACGGGGGCAGTGGAAAAGTGGATCCGAGGCACAGAGACAGTGCCAGCTCTTTATGTGTTTGAGTGTGTTGAGCTAGAGCTCATACTTAAAGTGGCAACGGGAGAGGACGAGGAGCCGCAAGAGTTTGATTTCACCTGTCCAATCAAACTGCACAGAGACCCTCTCTGTCAGCACCGGTATCATTGCACCCATGAAGCAGGAGTGCACAGCGTGGGGCTAATCTGGGTCAACAAGCTGCAGAGGTTCCTTAAATCAGATGAGGAGGATAAGGACAGTCTCCAGGAGCTGGCTGCTGAGAAGCGCTGCATTGTAGAGCACATTCTTTGCACCAGACCGCTCCTGACCAGTCAGTCGGCTCCAATTCGTGGTTTTTTGATTGTGTCTGACCTTGCCTTGGGCGCCACCATGATCTGCATCACCAGCACTTACGAGTGCATTCTGTTACCCCTTCTGAGCTCCATTCGCCCTCCTTCCCCTCCCCTGCTTTGCTCCCACCCAGGTCTGGGCTCTGCCAGCTCCCCTCTGCGTGGGCTGGCCGAAGACTCCTTTGAGCAGCACATTCGCAACATCCTGGCACGGAGCTCCACCAATCCTCTTGTACTTAAAGCTGGAGACAAGGACACATCACCACCACCTCCAGAGTGTCTGGAGCTCCTCAGCAGAGCCACACAGGTGTTCCGCGAGGAGTACATTCTCAAGCAGGACATGGCTCGTGAAGAGATGCAGAGGAGGGTGAAACTCCTGACAGGCCAGAAGAACAAGCAGCTGGAGGATTTGTCTCTGTGCAGGGAGGAGAGGAAGAGTTTGAGAGAAGCAGCAGAAAGGTTGGCTGATAAATACGAAGATGCAAAGTATCGCCAAGAAACCATTATGAACAGGGTTAAGAAAGTGTTGTGTAGCCTGCAAAGCCAGCTACCCATACTGTCAAACAGTGAAAAGGAAATGAAGAAGGAGCTGCAGACCATCAATGATCAACTGAAACACCTGGAAAACTGCATCAGGCAGGTGAACATGAAGATGGAGTACCAGAAGACACAAGTGGGCAAGGATATGCCCGGAACTAGGGCAACAGTTTCCCTCAACGCTCCCCAGAAGAAGGTTGTTCAGGATGTCCTCAAAGAACAAGGACAGCAAATTGGTGACATGATGAAGCAGATCAAAGACATCAAAAATCATTTTAGTTTCTAAGCACTGCAGAAAAATGCTAGTTTTTTTCTGTATAGTTGGGAAAATATTTCAAATTTTCCATGGAATGCACCGTTATTACATTTGCATTTTTCTGACATTTGATAAGAAGCTGTAATGAGTTCTTGAGCTCTAAGTGGTTGTGCTATCTTTTTATATGTTATATCTTATATGTGCTAGTGTAACTTTACCTTTCATACTAAATGTTTTTCCTTAATACAGAATACAGAAATACGAAAGGTTGGATTTTCTCTTACAAAAAGTTGTATATTTCTACATCAATATTTTTGACATGTTAATGATTGAATCACTAACATACTCAGTTTAATGTCCCGTGTATAGGCAGGAAAAACTAAAAGTAATTTGTGCTAAACTAACCTTATACAGCTGTTTTCAATTTTGTTTGCTCACCTTTTTGCATAAAAAAATAAACTTGAAATTATTAAACTTGTTTGTGTCTCAATGTAGGATAGCTACAACAAGCAGAAATATTAAGAGACAAATCCAAGTTAACAGTTTTATATTGACATGCATTAACTGACACGTTCACAGCTGCTGGTTGCTGTATTTGCCAGAGTACTTGGAGAAAACCTGTGTAAACAGGGGGAAGATGCAAACATCACAACGAAAGTCCCAGTTAATAATTTAACTGCGAAAAAACAAACATGTGAACTGAACTAAATATTCCACGTCCTGGCAAGATGTTTGAACTTCTAAAGGAGGCTAAAATCATGTGAGTGTTTGGTTTGATATGGATGTTTAGCATAGATGCAATACATAGCATGCCCTCAGTAAGAGACACAGCAAGAGCATAACTCCTAAACAGAAGGCAGGAAATTATTTGTTTTGTCTTGGTTATTGTCTTAATAAACATTGCAAGCCAAAATTGTAAACAATGTTAAAATTCAAGTAGGGCTTCCTACACACTAGGGATTCACTTTTTCCTCCCGTGTCTGAACATGTCCTTCAATGTGCACAGCTGCATGCCTCCAGTCTGCCATCTACAGCTGGGAACTCCAGTGAACAATTTCAGCATAAGATTGCCAAGAATCCTGTATCCACCAGGTGTCACCCCATCTCCAGAGCTGACGGCCTCAGTTTTTCTTCCACCACAGGTTTCCTAGTGAGGAATTCCCCACATAAACAATCAGTGACGTATAAGGAGACCCCAGTTTTGTTGAGTAAGCTTCATTGTTGGGGATGTTTGTCGTCGCTGGGGTCATCAACTGTAATTTAGGCTGCTTGCAGGGTTGCAATGGTAGCTTGATTTGAATACCAAATATTTGAGATGGTTTATGACCCAGAATAACTATTTACATAACAGACAAGCACTGTTCAAACTGCTATTGGGATTTTTTTTTTTTTACTCTCTAAGAAGGTGTTGATAGCTGTGACTTAATAATATACAAGGAGAGCATTTTTAGTCAAGAAACTGCATGTCTTTATGATGATTTAGCTGTTTTTTCCACACACATCACCTCACACTTTTTCTCTCAGATACATAGAAGAGGGTGTGGTAAACAGCAGGGCTCACTCGGGAACAGTCCAAAAGGGGAATTTTAAGTTCTTTCATAAAGGTACAATGTTTAGATCCTGAGGAAAGTTAGCAGACCCTAGGAAAGGAGATATTAATAACTCCCAGTCCAGCCCACCACATTCTTCACATGTGAGTCACTGTAAGCTGGAGAGCTGCGAGGAAAGGGCTGCATTGCCTCTGTTTCTCATTTGTGTTTCTTTCCATGGAGGAGTGGAAAAAGAAGGCGGGGAGGCCACTCCTTCTTTAGGAAAGCCTGAAACTCTTATGTGAAATACGCAGCTCTACACAGGACACATTCACGCTCATACCACATAGTTTACACCAAAACCAAACACTGTGTGCTGGGAGGCTAATGTGAATGTGAACATAGAACTAAACTGGGATGAAGGGGTACAAATAGACTGCATGTGTATGTGCGAGAGAACGAGGGGCAGAAAAAAGGCTTCAGATGGTGGGAACGACAGGGGAAAGAGCCTCGGAAAATGGTGGTATGGGGACTTGGCAGAGGAGACTGTGAGTCACTGTTTATGTGGTCTGTCACTGAGAGACCAAGTGAGCTTGATAAAACACAAAATGTTGTTGAAAAAGAGTCAAATCAAACCCCCATAGCTATTACTTCCATTTTAGGTTATTTATTTTCAGATTGTAGGCATTTTGATAACTAAGTTTAAAAGCCTTTTCAAGTTGTACAAAAGTTTTTGCTTGTATGAAAGAATAACCAAAGACACTAGACACAGTCAGGTAGTTTTATTTGGTTACAATGGTTGTTAACATAAGAACAGTTGGCAGAGCTGTGTACAGTAGTCAGTAACATGGCATTCATTCAGTCTAGTTGAGAATGTAATGTTCTTTTATGCAACGCAGATCCTGATCCTGCACATACAACGTAAACAGCGACAATTTACAAAATAATGTATAAATTCAGCACAAAAATGTGACATGTAAAGCATCAGAGTGAAATGCATTCAGATTATTAGATTTGTACATGATTGTTCTGTTACATGGAGAAGAAAATGCTGAAAACACAACAAAATAAGTTGAAAATAAATTTCTAAATGATGCTTCACTGGACTGATCACATGTGAAAAAAGGCATATTCCTACAAATAATCTCTAATATCTAGACACTGAAGGAATGTTAAAATGTTTAAAAAAAAAGGTGTTTTTTTTTTAAGAATAAAATTGCTCTGGAGTTTTTAAAAGTACATGCAGATTTTTGCTCACTTAGACTCAGCCTTTCATTTCTGCTCAGCAAATATATATTCATCATAAAAAAGCCAACTTTGAGGAGTCAAAGGGAAGAAGCAAACAGATCCTTTGACTTATACACAATCCTTTTCTGAAAGCCCTTGTTTGTCAACTTATATTTAAATACAGCATGTTCATTGTGCATTATAATCATTCTCAGAGGAAACGTTGCATACTAACATGCAACGTTTAGATTTGGGTCTGCAGGAAAATAAGAGCAAATACAACAGTAGCATAGGTGTGACAGCCAGTAGATGGTCTATGCATCAGAGCCTTTCTGCCTGCGTTTGGAGGGTGGGATCAGACGGGTGGGAAGCTCAGGGGGAAGACCATGACCCTCCAGCTTGACCTCAATTAGGTGGCTGGCCAGGGCAAATTCTTCATCATCCAACATGCCATCACGATCGACATCTGAGAGCTTCCAGATGCGACCCAGAACAGAGTTGGGCAGGCGGGAGCTCACCATCCAGTCCTTTGCCTTGGTGCCGCTTAGTTTCCCCTCGTTGGGAGCAAGGTTGTAGAAGATTTCATCATATTTGGGCTTGTCTTTGGTCACCACCCAATCTTCCTCCTCCTCACAACCCTCTCCATTTTCCTCAACAAAGGGGTCACCTTCTGAGAAAGGTCCAGCACGGGTCCCCAAGAAGGCACCACCCTGCACACCTGGTTGATCACCTGCTTCCAGCTCCTCTTGCCTCAGGAGGGGCATCAGTTTGGCAATGTCACTGGAGAGCAACTCATCCAAGGATGCCATCAGATTAGGCTTCAAGGATTTGAACTTGGTGAAATCATGAACCATCAGTTGTTCCTTTAAAAATGAGAATAATGTGTTAGTCCTTAGATTAATAGTTACATTAGAATAAACTTTCCTGTTGTAACCACAAGTTAACAGAAGTTGCTTGTAAACAAAGCCAGTGTTTCAAACAAACCTGCATCTTAGCACAGTCTGGAAAGTCTCCAGCAGAAATGTTGTGCTGAAGCTGGATCTTGGAGAAAATAACTGGTAGCTGATAGATCAGATTCTTCTTTTTATTATCCTTCCTGAAGACAGAACGCATCTCCTGCTTCAGGTGGCTGATGATGTGGGCGTGGACCTAGGATTTAGAGAAATAAAACACACAGAGTGCACCAATATGACTTTCTGAATAATCATTTAATGAAAACATGCTGAGACGTGAACAAATATGCAACTCGCTCACCCTAACCAGACGGGCTCTCTTGACCAGATCATTGAGTTTGCGTATGGCTGCATTTCGAGGAAGGTTTTGAATATCAGCAAAGAGATCCTCCTCCTCCAGCTCAAACAACTTACGGTTGTCGTTTACCAGCAATGGCTCTGCCCAGAAGGAGCCGATATAGACACGTAGAACCTCTGGAGTGCCAAATACCTTCCCCAGGGACCACATCAGGGCACCATACACTCGCATCAGCTGCTGGGTGCCCACCATGTCTGCTTTGTTTAGCACCACACGCAGTTTGTCTTCGTTGCCTTTCAGGGCACCGATGGCCTCAGAGAACTCATCGGATATCTCTAGCTTGTGAGCATCAAACAGCAGGACGATGCGGTCCACACGTTCTGCAAACCAGCGCAGTACAGCTGGGAAGTCATACCCTGTTTAAACAAAAAAGATGCAATCACTGATTCATCCATAGACCTAAATGTGGAATGTGCATTGAACAAACAAGGGTCAGGAGAGGGAAGAAGGTCAACACAGACACAAACCCTAAAGATTATAATCTGTAAAATCCCAAAGACTGAATTTCCGGTCACAGAGGCTTCATTTTTGTGCAAGACATAATGAAAAATAATTCTTTGACTTAATGTATGAAAGTGAAAGTCTAATAAATTAGTTAATATTTTTTCAGGCACTGGTTGATCTGTATCAACATGATTCTACTAAATCATAAGTTCATCAAAATCCCCCCAAAGAAAACACATTCCACATGCTTTTTGTGGGATGGCCACATAGACAGTTTTGGTTTTTATCTTTTTTGGTTTTAAGAAAGCATCTCTAAATTTTTGATAACTGAACTGTGGTACACACAGCACAAGAACTGCTAAAAAAAAAAAAAGTAGTAGCCTACTTTTAAAAGAGCATCTCAGTATCTCTGAATAATCCAGTCCATTTTTTGTTGAGTGAGAAACTGAGACTTCTCTTTTAACATCTTATTTACTTCCATCCTCTTAGGATATAGAAGCAAATCTTGCAGATGAATATTTTAAAAAATTCTAGTGA